GGGGTTTGGTAGCTCTTCAAAAGCTTTTATATCCAGATAATCTGGACATACAAATGCATAAACACGTAGGCATACACAATATCTACAAATGTAGATATTTATCCATAGGTAAGTGTTTAGTCCTTTTCCAACTCATAATTCTTACATTTCAGTGTTGACAAAGCCTCTTGTTTTGGGGAATTATCAGTCTCAACTCAGCTGTTTAATTTTGAACTTATCTTGTTCTTGTGTTTAAAAAAAAATCTGATTGACACTTCCAAGCTATCCTTTCTGTACCACTCATTATTTATATGCGCCTGTCCTGCTCCAAGATTCTCACTCTTTCTGTGGAGGGGAGGTTTTCTCCTTCTTTCTTGATTGCAGACTGCTAGCTAGTGAGACACCAGACCAAAGAGAAGAGAAGAAAGGGGAATTCTCTCCTTGTAGGCAATGACTAAAACAGATTGTTGTTTCTAGTGGTGACAGAAATAGGCAATCAGGTTCTCAGTTTAGCCACTCTGCACATTTTGGTCAGAGAAGGAAAAATCTGTTGAAAGGTGCTAAACTCAATGTGTTCATGTGAGAAGTTTCTTCCTGTTTTCCCTGCAGTAAGGACCCTTGTACCGTTCTTTTTTTTTCCCCAAAAAACCTGCAGGGTGTTGTTGACGTTGCTGTAGTTTGAATTAACTTCAGGTGTATTTACGGAGCTGGTGAGGTCTGGATCACTGGGCAGAAGACTACTCTTTAGCCCTGAGAAGACTACATAAAAAGCACCCTTCAACAGTTGCCTACCACTTCCAGGAGCGCTCCCTTCTTTTCCCATTAATTCATTTGCATTCACTGCTGCTCCTGTATGCCAATTAGCTTTAATTTCTACTATACACACTGACATCAATGGCCAATGAGAACAGTGCGTAGCAGGGTTTTTAGTGTGCCTATAAACTACAGAAAATTGTCCTTGGACAAACTCCTGCTTTTAGACTGGCTGACAACAATAGACATGGTTAAGTTCAGGCTAAGACCCATTAAACATAATTACTACCACAGGGTAAAAGTTTAATTGTGCTAAATTTTAAATCTGCATAGTCTATGCTTATTTACAAGCTGGCTAGGTCTTCCTGTTACATAAGGGGGAGTAAATCTGTACTTTAAAATTGTTGCCTTTTTTCACCTCCCTTTGAAGTTAAAAAATGGGTTTTTTAGAAGAAGCAAAACAACTTCTGAAACGGAAACCTTTCTGTATTTCCAGCTTCTTTTATGCCAATGGCGCCAAGCTGGTAAGTAGATGCTGAGCATCTTCTGATAGATTTTTTTCTAATGCACTTCAAGTTTGTGTGCATGAATCTGTGAGTGAGTATTGCATCTGTTACGAAGGTGTCTGGGGGACAGAATGCCGATCAGTTTGTTCTTGTGGGGTTATTTTAAATTTAACCACAGATGGGGCTCGGGGTGGAAGATTTTCCTCCTGCTCCTTGTCTTCTCTCCCTCCTCCAGCAACGTTAAGCTCCCCACCTCAGAAAGTTTCAGCCCAAGTAGCTTCTGGGTAAGTAGGTATCAGAGGTGGCAGGTTTTTTACAAGCAAACACAAAAGGCAGAAATCTGTGTTCATTTCGCTTTTTCTTCCAGCAGATTAAAAAAAAATAATAATAATCATGTTCACTGAGCTACAAGTTACAGCGTATTTTTAGAAGCATGGTGAATATACAGGGCTCTAAATCACTCCCTGAAAAGCAGATTAAAATTAGGAAGTGCTAGAATAAGTGTGAAATGTTCATCTGTTGGGAAAGGGAGGGTATGGAGGACTGTGAAACTTGATAGAAGAGAAAAAGATTAGCACACTGACTAGCTGGAAGCTACGTTTATGTAGACATTAGACGGCAACACGATTTCAGCTGGACAGAACATAAGCTTCAGATCTTATGCAAACAGTCAAAGCTGTTTAACAATTGGTTTACCCCCAAAACCCCTGAAAGGAGACAGGTGAATACGATGCCAAATACATTTTTCATGTTTCTTAAGCTAACTGTTTAAATAGTTAAGTGAACATCTGTCCAAATTTCCCCATCATTTCCATTTAGAAAAGTCTCCTATTTGAAGGCTGAAGAAAAGCGCCTGCTTAACAATGCAAATGGTGCTGTCTGGGGCCCCTTTATTTTGTTTAATCTAGATTGAGCTCCACACAACTGTGATGCTAATGAATAATGGATATTTTATACTTGTGCATGTAGCAGCGCTGGGCACAGAGCAAATCTAGGATTAACCTCCCACTTTCCCTGCCTAACACGTATTGGACTCATTTTTTGAGTTTGCTGTGACTTGGGTACTCTAAAAAACGGATGCCTGGTTTTATGGAAAATGGCAAAACCCCGACAAAAGCTGTCAGGTTTTGCTGTGCCCAAGTGTGGTACCATAGAAGGGGGCAGCTACGTTGGGGGAGGGAGGGAGGGAAGGAGGGATGTCTGTATTAATGGCTTGATTTGTGAGCGGGTGCTGAATGAGAGCCAGGGTGTCTCAGGGTGGAGACCTGTATGCTTTTCAGTGCCACGTTATTTCAGTCCTGTCTGCTGGCATTAGGCAGCCAAACCATGTGCTCAGCTGCCTGCCCTGCCTGCCTGGGGGGGCAGGAGCCAGCCAGAGCCCCCTCGCAGGGAGAAAGGGGCTGCCCCGTTACCGATTACATGGTCTGAGTTTGCCAGTGCAAACCTCATGGCTGGGATTTTGCTCTGCCCTTCAGCCCTGATGTGATGGATCTTAGGGGAAGAAATGTCAGTACTGGACATTAGGAAACAATTCTGGACATTAGGAAACAATTCTGGCATTAGGAAACAATTCTTCACAGAGAGAGTGGTCGGGCGTTGGAATAGGCTGCCCAGGGAGGTGGTTGAGTCCCCACCCCTGGCTGTGTTTAAGAACCGTTTAGATGTGGTGTTGGGGGATATGGTGTAGGGGAGAACTTTAGAGTAGGGTAGATGGTTGGACTCGATGATCCCGAGGGTCTCTTCCAGCCTAGATGATTCTGTGATTCTGCTTTTCTGTCCTGCCCCATTACAACACACGTGTTTCCATTTGGTTTGCGTTGTTTAACTTTCAGGGACAAGGTAGTGCTGCTTCTTCATGGGAAGTCTTGGGGTTTTCCAGCCAGGCATAATGAAGGACCACTGATACCACTTCTCACGAAACACAAGGGTGGCCTTTTTTTATATCTGGAGAGCAGGCTGACTGCGGCAGCACGGTGCTGTGGGCGGCTGGGAGAGTTGCGTGGAGGTTTCTATAACATTGCTGGGCGTTTTAATTCACAATTACTGGCCGGCAATAATTAGTATGGATTAGCTTGGCAAATTGCAGGTTTAGAAATTGGTTATAGATTTTCCCGATGCTTCTCATCCTGCCTGTTGTGGAATCAGCCAGAACCAATGGCTCTGAAATGAGCCCGAATCTGTCTGGGGGCAGCGAGGCGTTGCGTGCGCAGTGCTCAGGGTCAGCAGGAGCTGTGCCTCTGGAGGCTCGCCGCCCCAAGAATACAATTTTTATAATCTCCTAAGCAAAGTAACGTAACCACACACGTGTTGACCGCAGTCTCAGGTGAAACTTGGTTTTGTCGGCCTGGTGATTTGTGTCCCGGTGGGTTCGTGCGAGCGGCCTGCTGCCCCTGGCGCCCGCAGGCCTCTGCGGGGACGTCTTGGAGAAGGAGGCCGGGGGAAGGATCACAGAATCATAGAATGGTTTGGGTTGGAAGGGACCTCAAAGATCACGAGTTCCAACCCCCCTGCCATGGGCAGGGACACCTCCCACTAGAGCAGGTTGCTCAAGGCCCCATCCAGCCTGGCCTTGAACCCCTCCAGGGATGGGGCAGCCACAGCTTCTCTGGGCAACCTGTTCCAGTGTCTCACCACCCTCAGAGTAAAAAATTTCTTCCTGAGATCTAATCTGAATCTTTTTTCTTCCAATTTAAAACCGTTTCCCCTTGTCCTATCATTACACCTCCTGGCAAAGAGTCCCTCCCCAGCTCTTCTATAGGCACCCTTCAGGTATTGAAAGGCCGCTCTAAGGTCTCCCCGGAGCCTTCTCTTCTCCAGGCTGAACAATCCCATGCCGCGGTCTTGGTTGAGTCCCCCGGCGGGAGCTGTAACAGCAGCAGACATCTGGGGAGACAGATAGTGAAAGCCAAGATGAAAATGGCAAAGCTTCCAGTGCTGAAGGGCTGTCCTGGAGGACAGGGGAGCTGAAGTGGAACGGCTGAGCATACTGTTCGGGCCTGGGTGGAAGGGCTTAGCTGGCTCCCGGGAGGGACGGGGAGGTGGGAGGAGGGCTTGCTCTCCGAGATGCCTTGCAAAATGCTGTTGAGAAATTGTCCTTTTTTAGCTTTAAACAGCAGGTAAGCGAGGTTCTTCCTGAATTATATGATGGCAGTGCCGGCCAGGGTTGGCAAAGCTGGCAGGTCTTCTCCATCTCACCACGAGAGGTGGCCAGCTTGCCTCCCTCCATGAGGTTGTGGGTGAGCACAGACGGGGCAAGCACATGCCGAGGAGGACGAGCAGCTCCGGGCACCTACCCCACCACTGCAGAGAGGCAGATAGATAGTTTTTGACTGAAATTTTGTGTGCGAGAGGTGGCCAGCCTGCCTCCCTCCACGAGGTTGTGGGTGAGCACAGACGGGGCAAGCACATGCCGAGGAGGACGAGCAGCTCCGGGCACCTACCCCACTGCTGCAGAGAAGGCAGATAGTTTTTGACTGAAATTTTGTGAGCCCCAAAATAGTGCTCCAAGTGTTTAATGCTTTTGTCCATTAGACAGCAAATTAGCCCTAGGCTCGCAAAACCAAATGAAGTTTCGTCTCGACAATCGGAGCCTGCTCACCAGGCAGTTTTATCCCAAGTTCCTGCACACTGGTTGGTCAGCGAAATGGAGACTGCAACTTCTATTTATTGGTGCAATACAGTATTTGATACTGCTAATTACACTTAATTAGTCCTTCCACCATTTAATTAAAATGGCTTCTAATGATTGTGCTTCTTTGGCAGGCTCTTTGGTACCACCGGGAATTGTGCTGCCTGCAGTAAACTGATCCCTGCCTTTGAGATGGTGATGAGGGCCAGAGATAATGTTTACCATTTGGACTGCTTTGCCTGTCAGCTCTGCAACCAGCGGTGAGGACACGGTTATTATACACACAAACACAAACTAATTTATACCTTTGCCTGCAAAATAGGGGGGGAAACGTTTGATCCACGCTACCTGTCGGGGGCTCACAGCCTGCTGGCGTGGCTTGGGCTGGGTTATTAGGCTGACCCGGGGGATGCATGTGAGTACCTGTAGCCCCTTTACTGCAAATCCCCTTGGAGCTGGTGGGAGTTGGGGGGGAAAAGAGGGGGGGCACACAGACTGCAGATCTGGCCACGGTTGTACACGGCACAGCTGCTGCTGAATAAAACAAACTGCTTCAGCATCCTTTCAGGATCTACCCTCTTTGCAGAACGCAGATGATGGAGACTGGACCTTCTCCGGCAAACTGAGGTTATTTTGCTTAAATCAGGTTTCTGACAGGCTCAAAACTAGGGACAATAAAGAAGGAAGAGGAAGAGAAGGGATGGGATGGAGAAAAACGCTCTAAATAAGCCCTTTCCACCGCTAGGAACAAATCCCTTTAGTTGTTGTGTAATTAACAGAGGATCTTGGTGGTGTAATTCTGAGTGGGGCTTGTCTATTTCTGCTGGGTTTTACCCAGTGGAAAATGCACATCAAGGAGTATAATAAAGGGTCATGCAAAAAGTTTTCACTTTGGCTACCTGTAGCCAGCTGATTCTGGGAGGGCTGTGAAAAATCTTCCCAGCACCCTGTTTGTTGGTCATTGTAGGCAGAATGGAAGCCCCCAGAGACAGACGTGATACAGTGTCACCTTCTAATGCATCTATCCACCTTGTCTAAGGCAGGCCTGAAAGTGCTTGTTCTTGCTGCTTGCTTAGTTGGGCTGTAGTGACTGCCCAGGGCCCAAGGGCTGTGCTGGGGCTCCTCTTCTGGCCTTGTGATTGAAGGAAGAAATTAGGAGGCAATGCTTCATCCCACGTGAAGGCATGAGAGAGATGACAAAACTTGTGGGAAGATGGAGAACCCAATTCTCTGAAAGTCCAGCTAAAAGCCTAACTTACAAATTCATTGCTCGCCCAAGAACAGACTTCACAGTGGGATTTCTAATGAAGTAGTCATACACCGTGCACGTGTGGATGCAAGCCCCTGCCACCTTTCCCACTAAACTCAGGAGACCATGCAAACTGGGGTCTGATTCTCCTTCCGTGCCCTCTGGCAGTGGCTCAGTATAGGGAGATGAACGGGGTTGTGGCTGTTTGGTGCCACAGTGTGGAAGAGGAGAATGGGGTGAGCTGTTTGTAGCTCAGGTGGCTTTACTCATTCAGGTTATTGAAGGCTGAGGCGGTGTCTGTTCAAGGTAGAAAACTCTGCTATTAATATTGGAGGAGCCCACTGGCGCGGTGGCAGCGCCGAGGCGGCAGTGACATCTAGTGGCTCCCAGCCTTGAGCTCTTTTCTGGAAGCCACGCTAAGTTTTTTTGGTTGCCCAGTCTTGTTTTGCCACTCTTTACCATGCTCCTGCGGCAGCTGTGATTCCCGCTCGGCAGCATGCGACTGTTTGCAGAGCTGATAGGAGACAGAATCACAGAATCACAGAATCTTCTAGGTTGGAAGGGACCTTAAAGATCATCTTGTCCAACCGTCAACCTGACTGACAAAAACAGACACCGCACAACAAACAAGGAGCATCATCACTAAACCATACCTCCCAGCACTACATCAACCTGTCTTTTGAACACCTCCAGGGATGGGGCCTCAACCACCTCCCTGGGCAGCCCCTTCCAATGGCTGATAACCCTTTCAGTGACGGTCTGCTTTCACACAGCTGAAGGTGCTGGTTGGTTGTGGGGTTTGTCTCCAGACTCAGAAGGGTTTCAGGGTGCTGCCAGGCTCAGCCCTCAGGCTCGGCTTTCTTCAGCCTGCCCAGGGAGGGGGTGCTCCCAAAATCCACACCGATAACAGGGTTAGAGCATCTCGCATGTCCCTTCTGGCAGAGGTGAGTGGTGGCTCTGGGCTGCACAGGCAGGAGTGCTGGGTTGGCCCTGGAGTCCATAGGATGAGTATTTGTCATTAAACCCCTACTTTACCCTAGCTCCTCTCACAAAAAAGTCTTAGTACCGCCTGACTTTCATTTTCAGGAATTTCACTGCATTTCACTGAATTTTTAGAGTTGGAAGGGACCATAGAGATCATCTAGTCCAACTCCCCTGCTGAAGCAGGATTGCCTAGAGCTAGAGCATGTTACTCAGGAGCATCCAGGCGGGGCTTGAAAATCTCCAGAGAAGGGGACTCCACACCCTCCCTGGGCAGCCTGTTCCAGGGCTCTGTCACCCTCACCGTGAAAAAGTTTTTCCTCATATTCAAGTGGAGCCCTTTATGTTCCAACTTGTGCCCGTTGCCCCTTGTCCTCTCACTGGCAACTACTGAGAAGAGTCTGGTTCCCTCCTCCCTCAGCCCGCCCTTGAGATACTTGTCGGCATTAATAAGGTCTCCCCTCAGCCTTCTCTTCTCCAGACTAAAGAATCCCAGCTCTCTCAGTCTTTCTCCATAAGGGAGATGCTCCAATCCTTGAATCATCTTTGTAGCCCTTTTAAATTTCACCTTTTATTGCAAAGGCTCCAAAGCACTTTGCTCTCTCTCTCCCTTCTGCAATTGCTAACTCTGTCACTGCACTCAGTGCAAAGTGTGGTCCCACTCTGCCCTTAAAACAGCCTCCCTGTGCTGTGGGTGCCTGGCAGGAGAGCGCAGGTAATCCCCCATTCTGGCAGAGTCACGCTTTGATGCACAGGGGATTTGCCCAGTTTGGGGGGGAGCTGAGTTTTTTCTGAAAGATGGGCTGAGCTACGTGTAGATTGCAGCCTTCTGATCTCAGCCAAAAATAACAAACTTTTATGACTTATCCCCTAGAGATTTTGGCCTGAACGGGCAGAGTGGCAGTGCTGCTGTAACAGATGACATTGGAAGCTGGACCAAGAACAATGAGTTTAAGTAACGCTAAAGACAGAATTGCAGAGCTGAATGCCAAAACTGGTTTCTGAATCGGAAACCCCATTTGAAACTGCACCTCGTTCTTCAGCTATGAAAAGATTTGATTGTGAAGACCTTTCTGTAGTTCTCTTCCAGCTTACTTGCCCTTCTATAGCGAGACTCTCTCTGTGCAGCGCGTTAAATCCATCACAGCAAAATCTCCAATATTTTCACTGAGTATGCAGTGTTTTCATTAGCTCCAAAACATCAGGTTTGCAGCAAGTCCTGTAATGCTACTCAGCCTACTGTGCTTAAAACTGTTATAAGGTCAACGTTGCCTTGTCACAATACTGAATAAAAGTTGGCCACGGCTGTAACCGGCTGATAGGTCAGTATTACGAGGGTTGCAGGAAATCCAGCTGCTTGTGCTCCCATTATCTAAAATGTGGTTTTGCTTGGAAGAAAATAATAGAAATGATGAAAGAAACCCCATAGAAATGGCAGGGTAGGTTCAGCACCTGTTCCTTGCTGGAACTTGATGAGCTGCCTTGTCACAATACTGAATAAAAGTTGGCCACGGCTGTAACCGGCTGATAGGTCAGTATTACGAGGGTTGCAGGAAATCCAGCTGCTTGTGCTCCCATTATCTAAAATGTGGTTTTGCTTGGAAGAAAATAATAGAAATGATGAAAGAAACCCCATAGAAATGGCAGGGTAGGTTCAGCACCTGTTCCTTGCTGGAACTTGATGAGCTGTTTGAGCTCTGTGACAGCCCTGCTCTGAGCCAGGGGCCGGCAGTGCGGTACCATGTCTCGCTCCCAAGAGAGCTGAGGGCTGGGACACGTGGGGCTGCCTCTGAAGCCATCCCAAGAGATCCTCCGTCTCTAGTTGGGATGCATCAGCTGAAGAGATGCCAGTTTACTGCTGGGTTTGCAGAACGGGCAGGTAGAAAGAAATAGTCGCCTTTCCCGTGAATCAAGGCTTTCTTCCCAAACTTCTCTCTCCAACTCCCTGAAAGGAGGGCGTAGGTTTGAGCTCTGTGACAGCCCTGCTCTGAGCCAGGGGCCGGCAGTGCGGTACCATGTCTCGCTCCCAAGAGAGCTGAGGGCTGGGACACGTGGGGCTGCCTCTGAAGCCATCCCAAGAGATCCTCCGTCTCTAGTTGGGATGCATCAGCTGAAGAGATGCCAGTTTACTGCTGGGTTTGCAGAACGGGCAGGTAGAAAGAAATAGTCGCCTTTCCCGTGAATCAAGGCTTTCTTCCCAAACTTCTCTCTCCAACTCCCTGAAAGGAGGGCGTAGCCAGGGATGGTCGGTCTCTTCTCCCAAGGAACAGGCAACAGGACAAGAGGAAATGGCCTCAAGTTGCACCAGGGGAGGTTCAGATTGGATATTAGGAAAAATGTTCACACCGAAAGGGTTCTTAAGCCTTGGGCAGTGGTTGAGGCACTATCCCTGGAGGTATTCAAAAGACGGGTTGACATGGTGCTTAGTGACATGGTTTAGTGATGTTTTTTATCAGAGTTAGGTTGATGGTTGGACTAGATGATCTTAAAGGTCCCTTCCAACCTGGACAATTCTATGATTCTGTGATTCGCAGGGTCTCAGGGTGCCCCTGCTCTGCATTTTTGTTCCCATGTGCTCACACACACACACTGCCCACAGCTCCCTAGGTCTCTAACTCCTCTTTTGGCTCCTCTAGACCCAAACCAGGTTTGGCATGAGACAGCTGTTGGGGGTGCTGGTGGCAAGAGTAATTTTTGCATTTCTCCTCCTGGAGATTAATATTGTACTTAAGGTAGGGATAAGTAGCGAAAAGCAAACAGCTGTGTCTGTTATTTATAGTGAGTAAACCTACTGGTGGGGAAGATGGTGTTAAGGAGTGTGTGTGCAATACAGTTTTTTAGCATAAAAGCCATTAACTTAAATTGATATTAATTTTTAGCTTTTTAATGTACAAAAAAAAAAGGTTGAATTTCAGGACTACTAAGGCATGTGCCACAGAGGGAAGATGATGGACGGTCTCCAGTGAAACCATATAAAGTGAGAACCAATGCCCGGTTCTCTCTGTACTGACTTGGCAAATTAATCAGCTTATTTGCAGGTGTCCAGTTGGAGAAAACTTGTGCCCATGTCAGACCTAGAAAGGGGCTCTAAAATGATCGATGCTGTTGCTGTAGCCAAAAACATTCCAATTTATGGAGATGTTCAGCCCAAAGCTGCCTAAGTTACAAATATAGAAAGCGTTTTTGACAAGGAGTAGGTGATGTCTCTGCCAAAGCTCTGCCTGGGAGCAGAGGAAATGGGCATTTGAGGTCTGCTAAGTCTCCTGAGGATGGGGGTCATCTCCACGGATCTTCCTTCAAAGCCCAGAGGCTGGTACCTACCTGTTCCTCTGGGTTCAGAGCTGCCTTTTGGCACAGGGGCTGGGGTGATTCTCTGCTTTAGGGACCTGGGGCTGATTTAAGACTCTGCCACTGGGGCAGGGAGGCACAGCCCTGAGCTCTGGTCTGTCATTGCCCTGCTTTCGTGATGGACAAAAACCAGCCCCTGAATTGGGTGCAAAGAGCGTTATTTGTTATCTTAAGAAGTTAAGATTAGCTTCTGATTCTTGAGCAAGCAGGCAGGGTGGAAAAAGCTATTGGCTGTCAATTCACACCTTTCAGATCTTATATGTGGAACTTTTTTGACCTTAATGGTCAAATAAAATTGTTAAATATCACAAGCCTCTCTGTCAACTTCAAGACAAACAGAACAATTTACATGGTATATAGAGAGCAGTGCCCTTCGCTCAATGAAGATAAAGGTTAGGAGTCCAGCCACCAGGAAATTTCTGTTTATTGTTCCGCACGGTACACAAGGGGGTGAGGAAGGACTTAATAGCCAGTCCTTGCCTGGAAATTAGTGTAAATACTGCCTCACCCGAGGGAACCGTGGAAATGTGGATACCAGCAAAAACTTCAAATAGTCTCTGTGTAATATCACCCGTTTGATTTCCCAGCTGCAGATCGGACACCTCTCATCTGCAGGGACAAATCCTTTAGCTGCTCCTGCTGCTGGCTCCAGACCCGGCAGAGACCAGCAGCTGCTTTTCTTTTTCCCAAGCTGTTTTGTACAACTGTGGCCTGGGAGTCGAGCATCGTCGTGCCAGGAAAAGGGATGGCAAAATCCAGGGGTGTGTGCAGGGAAAGGGAGCCAGGGAGAAGCCTGCAGGATTTCCTGGGCACCTGGGTATCAAACTCTGGTCCCCAGAGTCACAGAATCACAGAATCAATCTTCTAGGTTGGAAGGGACCTTAAAGATCATCTTGTCCAACCGTCAACCTGACTGACAAAAATAGACACCCACACAACAAACAAGGAGCATCATCACTAAACCAGACCTCCCAGCACTACATCAACCTGTCTTTTGAACACCTCCAGGGATGGTGCCTCCACCACCTCCCTGGGCAGCCCATTCCAATGCCTGAGGTCACCGTCAGACCCAAAGTGTCTCACATCCCATCCTGTTCTAACCTCTGGTCATACTTACACCTATGACTTCATTTTATCTTCCAGGTTCTGTGTGGGAGACAAATTTTTCCTGAAGAACAACATGATCTTGTGTCAGATGGACTATGAGGAAGGGCAGCTGAACGGGAGCTTCGAGTCCCAGGTCCAATAACAAACCCTGCTCTGCTTGAAGCACTGTGGGATGGGCGCCCGGCCGCGCCAGCAGCGAGGGCGCCTGTCAGCTTGCCTGCAATATTTTTTTAATTCTTGGTCCAGAGAGGACTATATACATTGTAGTACTTTTTCCCCCCCAACACAAAGCAGTTACAATTTTAGATGTACAGTTGTGCCTGCTTAGCTGAGCACTGCATTGCCTGTATGTTTGTGAGTTTTTGGGGTCTGGGGGAGGGCTCTGTACAGTCTGTTTTCTGTATATAAACTGGAACATTTATTTTATGAAAAATGTAATGCAATTTTATTACTGGTGTGAATTAAAAATTATGAATGTTTCCTGGTCGTCCTTGCTGTGGTTTGTTCCCCGTGTGGTGAAAGCCTGTATTTCCTGTGCTTGGCGTTGAGCAGACTGTTAGAAATATATATTAGAAATATATATTAGAAATATATATTAGAAATACACTCGTCTCTGGAAGCTGCAGGAATAAGGGCAGGGGCAGGAGGTCACACACACGGACTGGGGGAATTTCACTGAATTTTAGAGTTGGAAGGGACCATAGAGATCATCTAGTCCAACTCCCCTGCTGAAGCAGGATTGCCTAGAGCATGTTACTCAGGAGCATCCAGGCAGGGCTTGAAAATCTTGAAGAAGAAGAAATGCTTGAACCATGTGGGGACCTGTCTCCCAAGACCTGCTGCGTGGGAGGAGAGGAGCTGTGGGTGGGTGATGGCTGGGAGCTGTTGGTGTCACCAACAGGTCCCACCAAGGCTGCTGTGCAGTGCTGAGCTGCTGGCTGAGCATCGCCGCGCTCTTCACCTCCATGAATTTTAGACAGAGTGTTTCCACCACCAGGAGAGCTTGTTGGCCAGCTGATATGGTGTCTCCAGTCTGGGCTGTGAGGAACAGGCTCCCTCCAGCCCAGCCAACAGGTGCCCGGGTATGGATCAGAATGTTAATTTCAAGGCTTTCATAGGCAGTGGGGCTTTCCTGCGGGGCATCACTTGGCCAGCTGATGTTGGGGCTCGACCACAACTGGGGGCTGACGCAGAACCCCTTTCTGCTGCCCTCTGTTTACACGGTGCCAGGTGCTTCAACCTCCCTTGTAATGAAAGTGATGGGATTCAAAGCATCTCCCATGGAAAGGCTCTGAACCGTGTTCCTGCTGCGATGCTTTGTGCAATGATTTTCAAGGTTATGCAATTCAGGTGCAACCCGCTGGACTGTACCGAACACGCTGCTTTGTAGTGTGAGTGTCACTTTAATACACTGCACCAGTAGCTGTAAAGGATGGCTGCAATTCCATTCATTTTGTCTTCTTGCTTTTTTCTTAGATTTACCCCACTTTCCTCTAATAAGTAGACACTGGGTACTTTTTTCTGAGGTGACTTCGTCAGTTACTCGTTCTGGGTCATGTGTGTGTTCTCTGAATTTTAATAAACAGGCTGGATTGATGGGCTGAGGCCAATGGGATGAGGTTCAACAAGGCAAGTGTCAGGTCCTGCCCTTGGGTGACACCAACCCCCTGCAGCGCTACAGGCTGGGGGCAGAGTGGCTGGAGCTGCCTGGCTGAAAAGGACCTGGGGGTGTTGGTCGCCTGTCGGCTGAACAGGAGCCAGCAGTGTGCCCAGGTGGCCAAGAAGGCCAACAGCATCCTGGCCTGTGTCAGGAACAGCGTGGGGAGTAGGACCCGAGAGGTGACCATCCTCCTTTACTGGGCAATGGTGAGGCAACATGGCAGTGTTGTGTCCAGTTTTTGGACCCCCACTACAAAAAAAGACATTGAGGTGCTGGAGAGGATCCAGAGAAGGGCAACGAAGCTGGTGAGGAATTTGGAGAGTAAGTCTTGTGAGGAGAGGCTGAGGGAGCTGGGGGTGTTCAGCCTGGAAAAAAGGAGGCTGAGGGGAGACCTTATTGCTCTCTCCAACTCCCTGAAAGGAGGGTGTAGAGAGGTGGGGGTCGATCTCTTCTCCCAAGTCACAGGTGATAGGACAAGAGGAAATGGCTTCAAGTTGCACCAGGAGAGGTTCAGATAGGATATTGGGAAAAAATTTTACACTGGAAAGGTTATTAAGCATTGGAATGGGCTGCCCAGGGAGGTGGTTGAGGCACCATCCCTGGAGGTATTCAAAAGGCAGGTTGATGTAGTGCTTAGAGACGTGGTTTAGTAATAAAGGTTTGGTTTGGTTTTGTTGTGTTTTATCAGAGTTAGGTTGATGGTTGAACTAGATGATCTTAAAGGTCCCTTCCAACCTGGACAATTCTATGATTCTGTGTTTTGGGTTGGGAGACCTGTTAAAAATATGCGGCCCCATCCTCCTTTTATTCCTGTAAAAGTGGAATAGCAATTAAAAGGCCAGCTATAGCTGCCTATGGATAGGTGGTGTTTTAATTGCGATTCCATTTTAGTGTCTTTTGGGGTTGGGGGCCGGGGGTGTCTATTGAGAAACTGTAGAGTTGATGCTCTTGTAGAGGCTGTTGCAGGCGGCCAGACTGGACCCACTGAAGAAGCAGCTTATTGCCCAAAAGTTTTGATTCCTTGCTTTGAAATGGGGTGCCAGCCTGCCACTGCCTGTGCTCCAGAGTGAGGGGTACCCGCCTGCCCATGGGGTTTGCTGTAACTCAACACACCATGGCAGCACACGGCTTGTGTCCCATGGTGAGGATGGGGACAGTAAAACCAAACCAGAATCAAACCCCTCACCAAACAAAGCTGGGGGGGTGGGTATTTGCATTTAGTTCAGACTCTTAAGGAGAGTTTTGTCACCAGTTTTGGCCAAAAAAAAAAAAAAAATCCTTCAGTGAATGGTACTTAGATCTTCTAGAAAGCATTTTTTTCTTGGCTTAGGTGGTCTCCTTGCTTCAGAAGAATCACAGAATCACAGAATCTTAGTGGTTGGAAGGGACCTCCGAGATCATCGAGTCCAACCACATTAAAAAAAACCAAACAAAACAAACAACAAACCCCAAACCACCACCCACCAACTAAACCCCACACCCACAACCCCACACACTACACCCCACCACAAACCAATAATCCCGGGCACAAGAGCATGCCCTGAAGAGCCACGTCTACACGTTTCTTAAATACCTCCAGGGATGGTGACTCCACCACCTCCCTGGGCAGGCTGTTCCAGGGCCTGACCACTCTTTCAGTAAAGTCATTCTTCCTAATATCTACTCTAAACCTCCCCTGCTGCAGCTTCAGACCATTTCCTCTGGTCCTGTCATTATTCCCTTGGGAGAAGAAGCCAACCCCCGCCGCTCTACAGTCTCCTTTCAGGGAGTTGTAGAGGGCAATGAGGTCTCCCCTCAGCCTCCTCTTCTCCAAACTAACCATGCCCAGTTCCCTCAGCCTCTCCTCATAGGACTTGTTCTCCAGACCCCTCCCCAGCTTGGTGGCTCTCCTCTGGACACGCTCCAGCCCCTCAATATCCTTTCTGTAGTGAGGGGCCCAAAACTGAACACACTACTCGAGGTGAGGCCTCACCAGTGCCCAGTACAGAGGCACGATGACTTCCCTGCTCCTGCTGGCCACGCTATTCCTGACACAGGCCAGGATGCCATTGGCCCTCTTGGCCACCTGGGCACACTGCTGGCTCACGTTCAACCGACTGTCCACCAACACTCCCAGGTCCTTTTCTGCTGGGCAGCTTTCCAGCCACTAAGGGAGGAAAAGGAGGGAAGAAAAGAAAGAAAGGGAGGAAGAAAGTGGAACTTTTCAGAGCTGCTTGGCTCGTGATGGCTAATGGCTCCACAGCTGCCACATCTCTCATACATCGCTGGGAAAGCCACAGAAATGTCACCCCAGTGGTAGGAGGGAGTCACTCCTGTGGGAGACTCCACTGTATGTTGGGTGAATAAAACTGGCACTTGCAGGGGAGGCACAGCTGAGCTGGGCACGTTGGGATATGTCTGGGGACAGGGGGGGTTTGGTGCAGGCTTTTTTGATGTGTGGCGATGCAACAGGCTGAGTCAGCAAACCCAGCAGAAGGCAGCCCAGGATCTTGGAGAAAAAAAGGGGTCATGGGCTGGTAAATGGGCCAAAATAACCCATAAGGTGAAATCGATATGGTAAGGTCTAGTCTCAGTGGCTGCCATCTATAGGTACTAATAAGGAACAAGTCTTATGAGGAGAGGCTGAGGGAGCTGGGGTTATTCAGCCTGGAGAAGAGGAGGCTGAGGGGAGACCTTCTTGCTCTCTCCAACTCCCTGAAAGGAGGGTGTAGAGAGGTGGGGGTCGGTCTCTTCTCCCAAGTCACAGGCGACAGGACAAGAGGAAATGGCCTCACGTTATGCCGGGGAGGTTCAGGCCGGATATTAGGAAAAATTTTTTCACTGAAAGGGTTCTCAGGCATTGGAATGGGCTGCCCAGGGAGGTGGTTGAGGCCCCATCCCTGGAGGTGTTCAAAAGACAGGTTGATGTAGTGCTGGGAGGTATGGTTTAGTGATGATGCTCCTTGTTTGTTGTGCGGGTGTCTGTTTTTGTCAGTCAGGTTGACGGTTGGACAAGATGATCTTTAAGGTCCCTTCCAACCTAGAAGATTCTGTGATTCTGTGATTCTGTACTGGCTCCACGCCGATGAGGTGCAGAGGAAGCCTGGAGCCAAGGATGAAAGAAAAAATGGTTAGAAACACGGGAGCAGACATGTTACTGGAACAATATCGGTCTCTCCTCCTGGGGAGGGAGAAACATCAAGGTGGTTTATTATGAGAGATTGTACCCCCATGAAGAGCATGTCTTCCAAGATGCCTTGGGCTGTGACTCGTGTGGTGGCACTTTGGCCATCTCATTGCCTCATTGCTGGTCGCGCTGTGAAATGCAGGCAGTGCTCCCCCACCAGGGTACAGGGACTTCATTTTTGGTGATTCGCCCTCTTGGTTTGACACCATGGCTGTAGATCTGATTCCTTATGCCTAAGGAGGAATTTCTGGATGCTGTTTTATGCAGAAGCCCCAGCTGGTGACTGGGTGGGTGGAAGGAAAGCCTGGGACAGGACATGGCTTCTTGCTGTGAATGGGCTGCAGAAAATATCCAGTTCTCTTATATTAAAAAAAAAAATAAAATAACAGGGAAAGTTTGTGCAGCACCTGTATCCTCCTTTTCGGTGTCTGCACACAGGTCCACCTGCCACAGCCCGTGCCCCAAAGAGCACTGGAGGTGGGATTCCTTTAAAAATAAAAATCCCAGGAGGACAATGCAATCATGAATTTTTGTCTGAGCGCTGCAAATTTGCTTAATAGAAACAAGTGCTGGAGTGTAGACCTGCTGTTGAATAATCACTTCCACTCTATGGAGCAGAGCACAGAAACCTTTTGATGGTGTTATAGTCATCAC